GACCAGTGGGAACACGCACTCAGCGTCTTCCAGTGTCCCCACTCCCTGCTCCATCGGAGCCTTAGTATTATTAACAACGTCCGACGAAGACCTGCTATTTCCGCAGTATTCGTCCAATGGATAACGTGCTACTCCTCGCGCATCAGACGGGATGCCTCGGTCTTGGTCCGAGCATACCATTCTTGGCACGCAGCAACTGCTTTGTAACGTGAGCAACGCTCAGGGGTACGTGCCACTCTACGTTCGGCATGCGCGCCACGCTCGGGACTTTTGTCCGATGCAACTTCGTTGTTTGACAACGCGGACCTTCCGAAATCTTGCACATTGAGCGTCTCGGCTCAGTGCCCGCGCCAACAGCGCTTCTGCTTCCTAGTTGCGGAGGATTCATGACTCACCAAAGCTCCACCAGGAGACGTGCGCGTAGTGGCCAAGGTCTTCGACCTCCAACAAATCCATGGTATTTCAACCATGCCATACCAAGGAAAAGGTCAGACCTTGCATCCAAGTCTTAGACTAGGCAGCATTCCACGTATCAAAGAAAAAGTGACACCGAGGTCCACAAGGACCCTCGGCACAGTGACACAAGTCCTCGTCGCTAAGCAAACAGTGACGGTGTTACTTAACGGCGCTTCTAGCGCCATAGCATTCAGCTGACTTTCTTTTATCGGCGCACCAGGATCGAAAAGGATTTTTCATCGTCCATGGAAGCCTTTCACGGTCGCTTTTAAGACCAGGAAGGCCGGCTTGTACAAACGTTCCGTGTTCAAGAACGAAGCTCTCCGAAGCTAAGCACTGCTGCCCACTACATCTTTGCATGCTAACAGAACTCGGCTTTCCCCCAGTATTGTGTAGATTTTATTTAAAGCTGAAGGAGGGCGTTTCGTGCCTACTCGGTTTTGTCGTTTCCCTGCAAGAAACCAGACTGATTAGAAGCGTAACGTCAGTTCGACAAAACTTTACGCGCCTTGCGCAGGGGGCAACCTTCCGAAGGTGACGAAAATCGTTCAAACGCTGCTAAGCCGCTCGGAGCCCATCTCCTCTCAGCATAGCTGAGATCCATTGACTAAGGCTTATTCGATGAGCTTTGAGGGTGTGTTTTCAAACCAAGTTGTGCTGACTTAAAGCTGAATTTGGCATTCAATGCCACACTTCACCGCTTCTTCAAGTTTTTGGTTTCATAAATTTGGTCACCATGTAACGTTGGTGGTACTAAAACACACGCTTCTGAGGAGATTCTGACAGCGTCAAATCAACAGGACTTCAAACTGTTGCCGAACAAACGCAAACGACAAAAGCTTAGGGCGAGTTTAAGAATCTGCAAATTGATGCCAATACGAGATAGGAATTGCAGCCCTTGGTGCCATCGTTAG